TTCCCAAGCATGGATGTTGGTATTATCAATAATAACCGGGCTTTTCCCATTCTTCATTGCTTTGTCTGCTGTAATGCAACACAGTAGGTAAAGCTAAAACATACTTAGTAACAGCCTGCTCCAGGTTTTGCTAGCCCCCGGTGTCCTTCCTTCCTCCCACTCCTAGTGCACGTGGCTCTTGACCCTCACATGGGTCTTCGCCCACTGTTCCCAGCGTGTCACTCTCCTGTAGGCCACTACCTTGAGATTCTCTATTTGGGGGCTAAGTTGATGGACAGCCTGAGGGTAAAACCGAGCGGAGGAGACGCGGCTCCCTGGGCGCAGTCACCTCGCGCCTGGTTCCACCTGTGCGCCTCCTCCAGGCAGTCGGGCTCGAAGACGTACACGCCGTTCCCATCGGTGCTGAGAACTACAGCGCTGGGGGACTCGCGTTTCAGTTGTCTGGAAACGAGAAAGACGGAAGGAGGTTTAGTGCCCGCTAACGTGGGCCTCTGGAAGAGCACGCTGAGTCGGGAGCCTGTTAAACGGGGTGCCACAGCTTCCAGGGGACGGGAAGGAACACGGTCAGCAGAACATCACATAGGAGGAACGGAATGGAGCGTAAAAGGATGGTCTTGATTCCGTCAATTCAGCAACCTATCTTGGCACACCAATACGCGAGGCCAACCAAGGTGCCACCACACTGCAGTGAGCTGGCCAGCTGCCTTCTGGACACACCAGACTGGTGAAAGGAAGTGAAAACACTCCTTTGGTGACGACTTACATTTGAAACATTCCTCTACCGGGTCTTAGAGAGGTTAAAAAAAAAAAAAAAAAAACCCTTAAAGCGAGATGGGATGATCATCCCAGGTTGATCTTCACTTATTCATGGCCACAGCTGGAGCTGAATCTCTCCTCAGCCCTGTGAGTGCTGCAAGCAGGATGAGGAGGAGAAGGATGAGGAGAGGAAGGACAAGGAGGAGGATGAGGAGGACACGGAGGAAGAGCAGCACAAGATTAAGGATGAGGAAGATGATGAGGAAGAGGAGGATGACAACAAGGACCAAGGTATGGAAGGGGGAGCAATCTCTCCAAGAAGCTGGGGTGATCCCACTGCCTCTCCTCACTCCCCTTCTCAGCCCCAAATTGCCCTGGAAAAGAAGTTCAGG